CTTGTTATCTCTACCTGTAGTACCCCCAGACCACTTAACATTTCTTGAGTCCTCATAGGTTTTCTATTTTCTTTCTTCTGTTCTGAGATCAGCTGGGATCTTGTCTGGCCAAGTTTGAGGTCCCTAGGCACTCCCAGATGAATGCCATATCTATTTTCTTTGCTAAGGCCTATGTGTGTCTGCTTTGTAGCTGAAGTTTCTCATTTGGCCCATCCTTGGTATGGCTACAGTGATTTCGGGAAGGCAGGCTTCCATTAGTATTGAGAAGGCTCTCATTTTGAACTTGTATTTTTAACTGCAAATCCAAAGTAAGCAATTCAATAAAGGGTGAGTGCTAATTTAGCAATATTAACTTATTACAAATCTTGGGCATTGTTTGTTCTTTTATTCATTTATTCAACTACTATTGATTGAGACCTTAAATACATGACATTATGCTAGATTGGGGGTATAGTTTTAAGTAACAACAGGCTCAGTTTAATAATCAAGACATTAATCTAATAATTACAAAAATGGATGCATACTGACCGAAGAAACTAAAGGAAAGAATAAAATGGTTTAGAGCACAAAACAAAGGAACTGGCATGGCCTGGTGGGTCAGGGAAGTCTTACTTCTGGAAAGGATGCCTGAGTTGAGATTTGAAAGATGGATAGGCATCAACTACAGAAGGGAGGAAGGGTTTGATGACATGTGCAAAAGTCCTGGAGGAGCATAGGAATAAAGGAAGAGTGATCAGAGAAAATGTTGGCCTGGTACCAGACCATACAATGCAGAGCCTTGAAGGCCGAAGGATTTTTAAAGCTTTATCCTTAGAGCAGTGGGAAGCCACTGAAGAAGGGTTGTATAGCAGAACACACAGTATAGTCTAGATTGATTGTATGACTTCAGGGTAAAGTGCTGTTGGGAGGGAGTTTGCAGTGTGGAAAACCATCCAGTAGATTTTGAAAATGTCCAAATGTGGTATGTTGGTCGCGTGAATTAGGGTGGTGAGGAACTGATAGATTTGAAAGGTGCCGATGGAGGAGAATCCATAGAACTTGGTGAATAAGTTGGATGTCACCCATGTTTATATGCTGCCATTTGTTCATGAATTTTCTTCTCAAAGATTCATTTTTTCAAAATTTATTATTTTGTCCAGAATGTGTAGAAAGAAAGATCAGTAAATCTCTTTCTCAAGTTTGTTTTGCAGAATGCAGAGCGGTGTAGTCTGAAACAGTGAGATACTAACGTCTTATTATCATGCTAGTCTCTCATGGTTAATGAACAGTTAAAGATTTTGAAAAATGAGATAACAACATAAGTGGAATCTATTTTTGTAGCATTTTGGTTATGGAATGTGGTTTGTTGTGAGCTGAGTATAATTGTGTTGCCCTAACAAGGTACTAGGGCATAAGACATAGGAACTCAAAAACCAAAGTTTAATAAAGGGTAAATATTTAAGGGTACTATTAGTTTTTGTGGGCCACAGTCGGAAAAATGATGGTTATGATGTGCATTCAAGCACTCAGATACCTCAGATACACCAATGGCCCATGCAAGTAAAATGCAAGAATGAGAAGTGTGAATTAGGAGTCCTCAGCGCAGGGGTGGAGTAGCAAAAACTAGTTCAGAAGAGGCCTTATGAGCCAAGAAGACATGTGTTGGTGATATCTATCATTCTGTTAATTGAGGATCGTTAGCCCTGTGAATCCCATCGGTTTTAGGCAATGTTAGTCTTTATTCTCAGAATGGAATAGATTTTATGAGTGCGTATATGTGTGTGCTTGCCTGCACACAATAATATCCTCCTGTGCACATCATTTATATATATATTTATATATATATATATATGAACAATGGCCAGATTTATTATGCATGGATAACAATAAATAGAATAAATAAGCTATTTATCAAAACTTCTCAAATGCAAAGTCTGTATGCTTTGAAACCCTAGGGATTCTGGAAAGAAAGTGTGCTTCGAGATGCATGATGGGTTAATTAAAGGCAACTGGCAGGTGGCTTGTGAATTGGTGTTCGGTCCATGAAGCAGTCAGTATATGCTGCATTCTGTCAAAAAGGAGCCCTTTGCTATACTGGAAAGTAAAATAAAAACAGCTCCCAGGTAAACTGGCAAAAGCTTTTCTGCATCCATCAGGTTAGACTCTATCATTTGACTTTGAACCAATGTTGAAAGTTGTAGTCTCAGCCTCTCTCCTTGGGTGCTGCAGGGCTCTTCTGAACTCTGCTTTGTTGCTTTGTTGCCAGCCATTCTATCATACTGTGTTAAGGTACTGGACTGAAGGGAAACTTTGCATCGGTGAGTTGGTTTCATACATTTGATATTATTTAAATATGTCCCACATATTAATGGGCAGCTCCCCCATGAGTTCTGATTTTGTTCAAAGTACACAGACTTATTTAAATGTCCAGCTAGCATTGATCATCTCCAAACTCCTAACGGAATCTACTCATATCTTTCTTAGGATCCATATCTTTTCTGGGTTACATTTTGGATCCTAGTTTCTCAGAGAATGGCTCTTCTCCTTGAGAGCTTGTCAGCAATGTGGAATCGGTTCCACTCCAGACCTACAGAGTCAGAATCTGCATTTTAGTGAGATCCACAGGTGAAGGGTGCACTTACTTCTGTAGCTAGCAAGCATGGTAAAAATTGAGTCTCTGGAAGCAATGTGGGGCTAAGGACTTTTAGATTCAGAAGAGTTGGACTTGATGATCAATTCCTGGAAATATATATGGTAAGCCCTATGTAGGTAACACATTGCTTTGCCCCTTATTTCCCTCATCAATGGGAATTGTGGATATTGCCTATATCACAAAGATATAGTGAGGATTAAATAAATTAATGTCAGCACGGGCATACCTTGCACTTTTGATAAGTATGGTGTGCCTTCTCTTCTCCTGGGACTTACTGATAACATGATTGCACCCACTTGTCTTGTATGCCTGTGGTTTGCATTCATGTACCTACCCTCCCATCTTACTGTCTTTTCTTAGTCTCATTCCCAGGCTGTCCTTAATTAGTACATTAACGCAATTATTTGCAAAATTGTGTTTAGATAGCCTCCAGCATTCAGAAGAACCCATCTCACCCAAGAGTGTAGTCTGCATGTTAGGGTTTATTCCATAGGGAAGCAAGACAAGATAGTAACAGACTCTGGGGGTTTAGTAAGGCACTGAGCACATCAGCACAATTTTCTTTTCTTTCTTTTTATTACACTACATATTTGGAACACAATATATCTTTGATCTTGTAGATTATATAAGCTCCCAAGTACTTCATGATTTTTTTATTATAGCCACACTGAACATGAATTTATATTCAGATGTACTCGTCATACAGAAATAATGCCATTTGTTTTTAGCAAGTGACTTTTAAAATAAAACAATTGAATGTTCACTGAAAATCGGTGAGTACCCAGAGGGACAGTTCGGAGATGATTGTTAAAAAACTGGGCTTTGCCTGTGGCTGGCTGTAAACTAAGCTATTAAACAGTATTGCTAATATATAGGAAATAAAGGCAAACACATAGCATTATGAGGATTTTAAATATAAATTGGAGTTGCACTTTTCCAAGTCATGTAACATATTCTTTAGGTTAGCCAAAAAAACTTGTTTTTGACTTTGAAGATTGATCATAGCCCATCACCTCTGCTCTGCTATTCCCCTTGGTGAGGGGTTTCTAGGATAACTTATATGTCCCTTTTTGCTCAATCTAATTAAAAGAGTTAATGAATATATTTATTCCTTTACTGCTCAGTCATGAGTCCTTCTGCTGCTTTTCAGTTGAGATGTCAAAATACAAATTGTGAGAGACTTTAGGCATTTGCCACTTAATGTGAGATTGTTTGTTAAAAACGTGATAGTGATGTATTCCATTTATTTAGTGTCTATTTAGTGTGTTTTGTATGTTAGTCATCACGCAAGTTGTTTTATCGAATTTGTTTCATCACTTTATAGATTCCATACTTTACCCGAGATCAGATAACTTAGTATGTGGCAGAGCTGGGAAGGAAATCCAGAGCTTGCTCCTTCTAGAGTTCCTGTCTCTTGCAGTTTTCCTGTTGCCTGTATGGAGTCCGTTTATCATTTTCTCCTGTGTACAGTTTTTCTTGTGATCCTGCTTAATTAATTGATTGGAAACCAGTGTTGGATTTTGGAGGATTGAACTATAATTGTCTCTTTATTTATGTTTTTAAGCAACCCAGGACCCTTTCAAATATGATCAAGTAGGCAGTGTGTGGTTGAACTAAGATGACTTTTTTGGTCAATTTGAACTCAGAGGTTCTGTTCTTGACTCGTTTTCCTGTATGAGTTTTGGAAGGACATGTGCACCTGCTATTAGAATCTGTTCTGTTCTTGATGATACTTGATGTCCTAGAAATGTGTCAGACAATTTCTTGGTAATTTTGATAATTAAAACAGTGGGTAAGAGTGGTGATGTGAAAATCTCATGTTTTACGCTTATCCATGCAGGTTGCCTCTGGGGATCAATCATGACAGTGAGGAAACTGTTGAATGCTTTGAATGGCTATAACCCCTCTCCCCTGACCTGTTCCCCTTTTGCAAATAAAAAGTGCTTTAGGAATGATTCTGTAGTTTTTGTTTTGACAGTGGTTTTTGCAATTGGCTCAGATTTTTACAATTTTTATTGTTACTATTTTTGTTGGAGTTTCACTCTGTCACCCAGGCTGAAGTACAGTGTGGCACAATCACAGATCACCACAGCCTTAACCTCCTGGGCTCAGGGAATCCTTCCTCGGCCTCTTGAGTAGCTGGGACTACAGGCGTGTGCTGCTATGCCTGGCTAAGTTTTTGCATTTTTGTAGAGGCAGAATCTTACTATGTTGCCTAGGCTCAAGCATTCCTCTCAAAGTGCTGGGATTACATGCATGTTGGCGCAGATATTTTGAATGTACTAAAATCATGTTCATCTAGATCTGACATAGACTGTGTAGTCATATCAAATCTCATTTTTTCCCCTCTTTTTCTCCCCCTTTGCAGGATGATGAAGTGGTTCTGCAGTGTACAGCCACCATCCACAAGGAACAGCAGAAACTATGCTTGGCAGCAGAAGGATTTGGCAACAGACTTTGTTTCTTGGAGTCTACTTCCAATTCCAAGGTGGGGTGAAGCCTTTAGGGCTATTCAGATATTCATGTTTTACTAGTGCACTGAAGTTATTTATGAGTATTCTACCATTTTCTATGGAACACATAATATATAAACTAAAGGGGGTATAAAGTGTTTTCACTCTTCACCGAGTGCATTGTTAATTGAACCTCTAGTGGATGCAGACAACTAAACAACTGGGATATGTTTGTTAATAAGAATAGACAAAGTCCTTTCCACATGATGTTTATATTCTAGTGGAAAATTAAGCAAGAAAATAAGTGATATGATCTGAGGGCTAGAAAAGTTTATGTATGATTAATGTATGATTAAGTTGGAAAGGGAGCCAATAGTCTAAGGGTAATTATATTTTTATAAGACAGATTTTCTATTTTCCATAATAATAGAGTCAAAACTTTAGATCTCAGTTCATGTTTAAAATATGTAAACCTGGCTATGGATGTATTTCACACAGGTGTATTTGCATTTGACTTTCATTTGTAGAAAATGGGATATGGCCTTTTTTTCTCAAGGTGGTGTATCTTGCCTTGGTTATAAAAGTGGGAAGAATAGAATGATTGTTGGCAGTAGGTAGTCAAACACTGTAAATTATATATGTGCTCCTGGAAATTATCCCAGAAATATCTGAAGCTACAGAATTTGTAATAAAAGCAAGCCTTCCTTTTTGAGAAGGTAGTATTTCATGTTCCTGGGATATTTACTCAGGCTGACCTTTGCTTGAAAGGGGATGGTTCATAATTTCAGCATAGATTATCCTGTAGAAATATAAACATTTAAATCTAATGATATGTTTTGATAGTTATTCCTAATTCATGATTGCAGATATATACAGTATAGTCTATATGAATGAGTATTCATCTTTGTTTCTGTGTTTTAGAATTGAGAAACTGGGCTTTTGCTTTTGGGAACTAGTGACTTTATGGCAGACCTACCTTGGTATTATTAAAAATTTAGGGAGAAATGAGACATTGTCAGGAAGATATTTTAACTTATTTGAATCTCCGCATCAAAGTAGACAGAGCTATGAAGATGATAAAACCCAACCCCACAGATGAATTATTATCTAAAACAATTTAGGTGACAAGTTATCCCCACAAATGGTATCAGTAAGTATAGGAGGAAGTAGAGGAGAGGCAAAGTGATTTCTGCTGTCTCTAAAAACCAGTAGCAAGTCTTCACTGGAAAGCATGATAGCCAGTGTGAAAACAGCAGCCACAGCTAAGGGAGAGCAGATGAACTATGGTGAGGTTGGAAATTTCTGGAGCAACCTTGGCCCTGTGACTTTTAGGACAAAGTCTGGCTCTGAGGAGAAATCGTTGGGAATAAAATCTGGATTGAACAGCAGTCATAGCGGCAAAGGATGGGGAAGAACCAGGCAAAAGTGGGGGAGAGAAGCAGAACCTATAGCTCTCATAAATACAAGGCCATGTTTTGAACAGTAGGAGAAAACCACAGCATAAGGAACTCTAGAGCCATGAAGCTAAAAAAAGCTATGTCTTCCCCCTCACACCTTTAAGAGTGCCAGAAAAAGCATCTCAAGTTTTACCTGGTTATTGGTGTGCTTTTGTTGCCTGTAGGCATTCTTATTTTATAATACATATGTATAATCATGTACAATTTATAACATATAAATGGAGTACTTTAATTTCTATTTATGTAATTATTTACAATGAAGTTATATATATAATTATGTATGTATATATAATTTTATATGTAAAAAAGAGAGTAAAAGAAGCAGAATAATGTCTATAGAAGACAAGGGTTCACTAGATAAACTTAACAACGATATATCAAAGTGAACTAAAAGAAATTTAAAAAGTAAGAGACACTCAAGAGTCTCATGATCTCAGAAATAAGATGAATAAAGAACAGAGATTTGGAAAAGAGAGCTGAAGAATAGTAGGAGAGAATTCTGTATTAAAGAAAAACTAATTTTAGTCTTTCTTCCTGAACTGGAAGGAACACCAGGGCATTAAAAACCCACAGGTTATAACTTCAGAGAAATAGAAGATAGAGAAGTGGAAACCTTTAAAAATCCAAAAGAAATGAAGTAAGAGATGAAAAAGTCATTGGAGAAAACATTAGGTAGAAGATGTAGGAAGAACATTCAATGTGCTTATAAGAGAAGGCCTGAGGAAGAAAACCAAGGCAGTGGAAGAACAAACATTTAAAACAATAGCTCAAGAACACACTTGCCTGAAACGACACATTGAAAAGTCATTTGTGCATACCTAGGAAAATCAACTCCTCGGTCAACTGAAACAGATACTCTAGTACAATGGAATTTGAAAGGAAAGAAAAAGAAATTGAATCCAGGAAAATAGACCAAGTCACTTTTAAAGGAAAGCAAGGCAAATTGTCATTAGACTTTTTAACAACAGTGCTTTCTGTCCTTAAGAAACTCAAGGAAAGAAAACAAGAATCAAGGATTCCACCCAAACCAACTTTTCAGGATAAAGATTGTAAACCATTATGAACATGGAAACATATAGAGATATTGTTTCCTTGGGCCTCTCCTTAGGAATTTACTGGAGAATGAGCTACCGACAACCAAACTGCAGTAGAGACTAAGAAGTGATGGTAACGGTGCATCTTTATGCAGAGAACTGAGGCTGAGCAGTGACTTGAAATGGAGTATGGAATGCCCATGGTCTGACAGCGTGGAGTCAGTAGAACTACTGAAAAATGGTAGAATGGGGAGAGAATATAAAAATTAAGTTAACCTTTATGAGTGCTTTGTGAGTATAGTCTGAGAGTAAACAAAATAACTGGAAGGGAAGGGTGAGAAAGAAGTTATTAGTTACTTGCAATATTGCTCACAGAGAGAACTAAAAGGTAGTAACCAAAGAAGACTTAAGGATATTATTTGAGATGCTAGCATTAGAATAGCCAAACATTTTAAGCAAAAAATATATATGTAATATATATATATATATATTCTAAATGTAGGTATTACAGATTATATATATGTATACCATGCATATATACATGATATGCATTATATATACACACACACACTTGTACACACACACACAGATCCATCAGGTACTGCATGATGATATTTTTGTCAGTGATGGACCTTATGACTGTGGCCCCGTAAGGTTATAACAGAACTGAAAAATTCCTATTGCCTAGTGATGTCCAGATCCCAGTTCCATGTGGGCCTAGGCTAATGTGTATGCTTGTGTCTTCGCTCTCAACAAAAACGTTTAAATAGTAAATAGAATAAACATAGCAAAAGCTTACAGAATAAGGATATGAAAAATATTTTGCACAACTGTACAATTTTGTGTGTGTGTCAGGGTCTCACTCTGTGGCCCATGCAGGAGTGCGGTGGCATGACTCACTGCAGCATTGACCTTCTGGGCTCAGGCCATCCTTCCACTTCAGCCTCCAAGTAGTCCGGTTAAGTTTTTGATTTTTGTGGAGAAGAGGTCTCACTACGTTGCTCAGGCTGGTCATGAACTTCTGCACTCAACCAGTCCTCTCACCTTGGCCTCCCAAAGTGCTAGGTTCATAGGTGTGGGCCACCACACCCAGCTGTGTTTGTGTTTTAAGCTAAGTGTTATTACAAATGAGTCAGAGATTTAAAAATTTTAAGAGTTTATACAGTGCAAAATTTGCAGTAAGCCACAGTTTATTATTGAAGAGAGAAAAGTATTTTAGAAATAAATTTAATCTAGCCTGTGTACAGTACCTATAATGTCTGCAGTATTGTGCAGTACAGTACTGTCCTAGGCCTTCCTATGAACTCACCACTCACTCACTGACTCACCCAGAGCAACTTCCAGTCTTGCAGGCTTCATTCATGGTAAGTGTCCTATAAATGTGGACCATTTTGCCTTATCTTTTATACTATATTTTTATTGTACTCTTTCTATGCCATGTTTAAATGCACAAATACTTGCTATTATATTACAGTATTTTGTAAGTCACATGCTGTACAGATCTGTAGCCTAGGAGCATTAGGCTGTACCATACAGCCTAGGTGGGTGGTGAGCTATGCCATCTAAGTTTGGGTAAGAGCACTTTAGGTTGTGAACATAACAACAAAATTGCCTAATGATACATTTCTCGGAACATGTCTCTGTTGTTAAGTGACGCATGACAGTATATATATCATCCATGGATGAGACATATATGCACACACAAACATACACATAAGATGTTTTAAATGAAACGGAACATTTTATTTTAAATAAAAATGAAATTATATATTTATAATCTTTAAAATAAAAGTATATATTTTACTGATTAATCATAGAGGACTGAGGTCAAAACATATTGATCATATAACTAATTGTAAGTGGGCCTGACTTATCTGTTAAAATAAGAACTTAAAATTATAAGATTGACTAGCAATGCCAAATATACTATATGTAATAAATCAAGAGGTTAAAAAAGTTAAAAATAAAGAATAGGCAAGGAAATACCAAGAGGTATAAATAAGAAGAAAACAGATATCCTCGGTCTCATGATTTGACAAAGTGTGATTTCAACTAAAATACTTTAAATGAGGCAAAGAAGAATATTTTTATAGTGTTAAAGGATACACTTCTCGATGACAAAGTTATATACCCCAGTAACAAGAACAACTTTTACAAAACAGAAACCTCAGGAGTTATAAAGACAAATAGAGAAATATACTAATGAAAAGAGATATAACATACTTCAACCTGAAAAAAAAAAGAATAAAACACTTAGCATAGTCAGTGAGCTTGACCTTACAGAGATATATCAATATCTGAACCTTAAAAATGGAGAATACATTTTTTAAAGGTTCACACATCAAATTAAGGAATATTGACTATATTTTTGGCCACAAAGCAAACCTCAGTAAATCCAACAACACAAGTATGGCCACAAAGCAAACCTCAGTAAATCCAACAACACAAGTATGGCTATAAAGCAATAATACAAATATGACTATAAAATAATAAATATATAAATTTTTATTTTAAGCTTCTAGGTTTTAGGGTGGCTTGTTACAC